AGTCAAAGGCCCTGAGACGTATTTCAATTCAAAAACGAGTGCGAAATGAAGTGGTGGCGTCGGACTTTCTTTATCTTCCCCACTCCTTCGATGTTTTCGGCCCTTCCTATGCCTTTCGTTTCCTGCTCAGCTCTGGAGCTAATTCGATTATCATGTTGTTTGTCCCATTTGAACATCATGGACATCTTTGTTTTGAAGCTGCTTACAGCATTTGGATGCTTTCCCGGCCATTGTTGTTCCGACCACCACTCCTGCACTCCTTCTCTCGGAGTCTTTACCATCTTCTTCTCAAACTCTGGTGCAAATTGATGATTGCCTGCAGACTCTATGACTGCTGTAGGCGTAACCGGCCATGAGTTTCCAAGAGAAGTTCCTTGGCTTAAAGGCGGATTTCACGATAAGGTCGAAGGAGGGGGAGCTCATCTGATGGAAAGACATGTAGATCCTCCAAGGGTGTGGACAGAAACGCAATCGCAGCGAAGGATACGCCCCAGCGATCTGGCACGACCCTCATTGCGGCGCTATTGGCGCGGCACGCCCACCAACTGGCTACGCACCAGTCGTTTCGCAGGTCTCTAGTCGTTAGCAGAGAGAAGAGAGAGAGCGTTAGCGTTGAAGAGGGCAGTACCAATGAGAGCTGCATCGGTGCGGGAGGAAAGGGTCCCATTTTTTTGGGTTCTAAGCCGTTCCTCATGGTTCTCCCTCTGAATACTTCTACCTTGATTTTCGTGTGCGGCCTTTTAGAGAGGCTTCCGCTTTTACGTTTGCCTTACCCTACTCAATCACTATAGTGAACCTGTCCTTTTCATCTCCCACCGCACTATCCCCTTCATTAATTCAATGATTTTCACCTGCAATGAGGTCTTCTGGTCGCACGATGCAGAGAACTCACGAAAGTGTAAAATTGTGGGGGGGGGGGGGATTTTGGGAGTGATGCTTTCCCTCTGAACGCCTGTAGTTAGAATGTTCTATCACAGTGCAACCCATCTTTTGCCATTAAAAACCGAACAGCGCCACCATTACGGCACCGCAGCTTTATTTTGTCAGAATCTCTTTCTGAGTCGAAAGCGCCCAGGTGAATAAACGTCACCTAACGTGGTTTTCAATGTATCGATCATGAATATGCTGTTTAGCAAGAACCTTGTACGAGCTCATTGTTTCAGTGCACATATTTGATCTGGATAACTTATCTATAGGAGGATCTCACGATAAGGTCGTGGAAGCCAAACTTACCTAACGAAAAGACAGGCGCCTCTTAAGAGTGCGGACCGACATGCAGTTCACTGGCAGGAATATACCCCCGGTGATCGAGCATGGCCCTCCCCGCGGCGCTATCGGCGCGGTACGCCCATCGACTGGCTGACCACTCGCCGCAGGTCTCTAGGAGTTTAGCAGAGAAGCCTTCAAGAAGCCTTTAGGAGGAGACCGATGAAAGTCGCATCAGTGCGGAATTAAACGGGCAAAAAAGGGGTCCTTTCTAGATTTTCGTCGTTTCTCATAGTCTTTTCTTCATCCCCTTACCACTGACCACCTCTATCTAATTCCAATACGCTGTCTTTCTAGTCGTAAACTCCGCCTTTTACTCAAGAACTCCAAATTCCCGTCTTTTTCTGTTCCAAATAGGGCGGAAGTGGTGTAGTGGCAAGTGGCGCGCTTACCACGCGAGCGGTCCGGGGATCAAATCCTGGGTCGTGAGTCGCCCGGGCCAACCAAGCCTTCCATCCCTCCGGGGTCGGTTAATTGGTACCAGACTTGTCTGGGAAAATTTTACTGACTTGAGCATCAGCGGGCTCCCGCAGCCGTTGTGGCCAAATCGCATTCATATTGTCCCTGCGCTTTCGAATGGAAGTAGAATGCGTGGCGCATCCTGAAGTGGGACTGGTCAAGCAGAACGCTTAACCTTTTTTAATCCTTTCTGTTCCTTATTGGTCCTACATTGACGGCTCACATTTTGTTTCCAGGTGAAGAACTTTCGACTGCTCATGAAGAAACAGCGAGAGAAGGAGAAACTGAGGAACCTGCGAATGTGGAGCACCATTTTATCTGTTACGTGAAGAAAGACGGTGTTCTTTATGAAATAGGTAAGCCTATGAGTGAAATCACTGGCTGATGGTATCTCCGCACAAGTCCAACCCCTTCTAACGGTGTAACTTTCTTTCTTGGTGTTTCTCGGTCTTGAATCTCCAATGAAGCGCGCGTGAATGAATTTAAAGGTAGCGAGTTCGAGTAAGTGTCGGTACCATGGAAGTATATGCATCGGTAGAAGCGGTAGCCAGGCGACAAAATAGGCTACATATGATATTTTCTCGGCGTAATATGCGCTACTTTGCAAAGCAGCAGCTTTAAACTTGAAGCCAGCCTGCCTCCTCCGTGACTCCTCCACTCTCAGGCGTTATCGAAGTTGGCGATGTCGCTATCTTTAGCGATCGACTTTTATTGTGCAAGTACTTCGCATCAAATGGGTGTATATTGTCGATGTCGTCTCGCAAGTTTTGTCGAGGCATACTCGTCCAAACGACCAGCATCCGAGCCATAAACTCGTTCATGGTCAATAATCAGCGCTACTGCCCCATTTCTTGAGATCTGGACGTTGCTTTTGGTACATTCTTCGCTGCCGCTCCCTATAGCACCTGTGCTTTCATATGTGATCAAAATCAGGTTATGATGACTGTGTCTTTAAGGGCACACCCCGCGATCAATTTCATTGGGGAAATCCTCCCGCGTCAATGTAGTTGGTAACTGCAAAGATTCTGCCACTTTCGCGCTTCGAATCGCGTCATTAACCGATCGAAAGCGCATGGCCATGGCCCTAGAGGCTTATTACTTGAACCTTCAGCCTGGAAAAATCTGGCTGCTAACCTTGATATCTGCGTCTCGCTCGTCCCCTATTCTCTTTCTGACTGTTACCTCGTCTCGGCACTACTTGACTCCCTGTCGCTGCTTTCGTCCACGTTCAAAAAGGAGTACGGTATCAACCAGTTTCACTGATTTCTTTTCCTTTTAACGTAGCAACCACACTCAGGTAACCAGCGTGTATTACTGGATTTAAAATCATCTATCAAGGAGAATGTCGGACAAGCATGTGATCGACGTAAAATTCATCGCGGAACATCATCAATTGCTCGTCTTCAAATGGCATGAGAGGAACACATGGCGCGATGCTCGTTCACGCAACAGCCAACGCTGAGGGCACTACGATAATTCGATCGAAAAACTGCAATTTCTACAATCTAAGTGTTGAAGCGCGAAGTAAAGCGCAGGGAGGCCTAAACATCTACCTATCATTTTAAGCAATTTTTCGGGCATTTTCGGGCCGCTTGGGACAGCGTGACGCGCTTGCGCGCCGCACGCGCGCTGCTAGTGTTATTGTGAGTGTACACCGCATTTATGCATTTGTGCGTTCAGTTGATTATGCCTCAATTTATGTATAAACGACATGCGAAAGCAAAAATAGGCATGCCTTGGATGAGCGAAGGTTTTCTGAGTCCTTCAACGCTTTCAGTTCGGTTCATTCCAAGTTCCGTACATTAGCGTGAAAAAAGAGCAGTAACGTAAACACAGAATTCCACGATGACAGATATGCTTTTATATCTCTAATAATGTTTTTTTACGAGCGAAAGTTGATAAAATTTTCTTTCCGTTGCTATTAAACATCCTTTTGGTAGGGATTTTCCTCTCTGTCTCCCTGATTAATATGTTACAAATGACTACCTACACATTCTGGAAATGCTTTCGTGCGGATTCACGACCCATGTTTTGTGAGTTCACCTATCGAAATCCATGAGTGGCAGGTAAGACGGCGCGTTCTCGAAATCGGGCTGGTCCCACGCGTCAAAAAAGCCGAAATGCCCGCTGTAGTCAATGCGTTAATAAGTGCTTGTCTAAATAATGTGAATCGATGATGCTTCCACAGCGATGTTTTCTTCGCCCTTCCCGCGCTTTAGCTGGCAATTGGCGTTGTTGCGTGCTGAATCTTTCGTTTTTTTCTGCTTGTCCAGTTCCTTCGTTCTTCATTTAAGATTTGTTCTCTGAGGAAATGTATTTTCGACCCCTTCTCAATTCCTTTGCCTTCTTTCATTTAATATTCTTGCGTACTGGTGTGGCAATAATTCCTGATTGATTTTTCCCATCCCCACTTCTGCCTATGTAGTTGTCGTATTTCATGTCCTTGCGGGATTTAAAGGCAAGATTCGGGATAAAATAGGTGTGGAAAAGCGTTCAGTTATGAAGCTATAGGTGGGAGGTGGTCTGTAAAAGAGAAGGAAAGCAAACGAAAACCGATTACGCCCCGTACGGAGACCTCCCCTATTTCAGCCACATTCCACCTTGGATAGAGAAGAGGCGAATTGGACGAGTTTCACGAACCTAACTCTACTTGCTCCAGTGTCAATAACATTGGATCGCGCTGGGACCACTGCCTCAAATGCGCCCGCGCTTTTCAAGCAGCGCCACGTGGCAACCGACAGCGAAGGGTGGGGCTTGCGGACGAAGGTGTGAGTTGCGGGTTGGACGAGCTCCTTGCGCCTTTGTCGCGTACTTTCAAGCCGCAAAAGGGGCCCGACATCAACACTTGTCCACCTGCCTACTACCCCCCTGGATGAACATGCGCGAGGCCCGCCGATCGCGGAAGTGGTGTAGTGGCAAGTGGCACGCTTACCACGCGAGCGGTCCGGGGATCAAATCCTGGGTCGTGAGTCGCCCGGGCCAACCAAGCCTTCCATCCCTCCGGGGTCGGTTAATTGGTACCAGACTTGTCTGGGAGGATAAACACTGACTTGTACATCGGCTGGCCCCCGCAAGTCATTGTATAGGCCACATCGCATTCAAACGCCACTACGAATGTGAATGGAAGTAGAATGCGTGGCGCATTCCATCAACGCCTAATATTTTATCCTTTATCCTTTTATCATGATTCTGAGACAGTAAACGATGCGTTTGTGTGATCGCACATCCAAACCGCGAAAGCACAGCGCAAAAAGATTGATTCTGTAAAGATCAGGCGTATAAGAATAGAAGGCTGTTATTGTAACCAACTTACAGTATTTAAGGATCTGACGTATAATATCTAAGGTTATGTTGTTTGAATAAACAAGTCGAATTTCAGATTCCTGTGCACCATTCCCTCGTCCGTTGGGCAATCCTTCGGAAGACGAAGCATTAGTGAGCGCAGCTGGAAAGCATATAAAGAAGTTGATGGAAGACATTAGTGATGCCTCATTTTCGGCAATGGCCTTGGTTAAGAGTTAATGCTTGCCGTCTGGATACGGGAATTTTCAAGGATGTATTTTTTCATGTACCGTTGTGTTTCATCAACTCTCACTTCAATCTAAATAAATACGTGTTTTAAGTAATTCTTCACTCTCGGAAAGGTTTCCAATAAGCCTTGGGTGATGCTTCTCATCAATTTCCCCCCAGAGAAATTTTTCTCTTTTTATGTGTTCTTCAAATCCGCTAATTTGCGAGTGGACTCACATGTTCTCAAAACTTTCAAAAGTAGGCGGAAAGGGAGAAAAATCAGAAGCTGGGCCATTATCTGAAATGTGCATTCCATCCTTCCTTGATACGCCAGCTTTCTCTTCTTTGGTCAAGGTGGAGTTGACGATGGGGTGGAGTTGACAGTAAATGTTGCATCAATGCGGAAATCAAGGGTTCAGAAGAGTCTCATTTCTCGGACTCCGGACCGTATCTCATCGCTTTTTCTTCAGTCCCGCAGCACTGACCACTCCTTATTTCTAGCAATTGCTTTCTGCAATCTTGCGGGCACTTCCTTGAAGGCAGTTCCTTGATGGGTTGAATGAGAATATTAAGAGTTGGTCATGGTGCAGGGAAGCAAAAAATGATGTAAGAAACGGCTCAGAGCCGAGAAAGGTGACCTCTACTAAACCCTTGATTCCGCTCTGCATGCAGCTCTTGTTGTTTTCACACTACGCTCTCGCCGTTCGAACGGCTAGACTCGGATCGCGAGGAAACGCAGCGGAGTGAGCGGCGCGGATTCGGCCCCGTCAAACCGCTAGGGCCATGCTCTTAGATGCGAAAAGCATATCTGCTTTCACAAGGAGTCTCGTGCCGTTCGAATAAATCTGTTTCCCATTTTTGACTTTCGACTTTACCGTGAAACTCTTTGAGGGCGAATTTGTGACGAATCTAAGATTGTCCACGCAGCGTTTGACGGTTGTTGGTGGGAGACGTAGTGTAAGGAACACATTTAGCATCTAAGAGGCTGGAGGTAGAGCTTATGCTTTTACTCCCTAGGTAAGTGAAGTGAGCAAAGTATAGGCAGCATCACGCGCCGCGACTCGTCCTCCGACTCTGCCTTCTTGCCGCGCGATGGGCCTCCTGGGGGGTACCCCTAGTTTTGCAAGGGGGAAGTTTGGGGTGAGTGAACCGTTTAGCTTTCTCTTCCACACCCACCCTGGAATGTCTTCCCGTGCGAAAATTGTGATTGCTGAAGGCGATAAAATTTCTCGCACCTCTTGCTTTCCCTCGCTCCCACTTGTTAGTGACCTAGACTCGGCAAACACTTTCTAGCTCCGGAAGCTTAACTTGTAGCGCCCGGTAGGTGAGAGGCATTTGTCCGGTATTTGAGAGGTGAGGGTTCGAGTCCCGCCTGTTGCGAAATTTCGTGAATAACCCAACATTCTTGCGAGACTTTCTCTAGCATTCATATCCTTTCTCTGAAGACGTGAAATCTGGGAGGTTTTCATTGTGAGGGCGGAAGTGGTGTAGTGGCAAGTGGCACGCTTACCACGCGAGCGGTCCGGGGATCAAATCCTGGGTCGTGAGTCGCCCGGGCCAACCAAGCCTTCCATCCCTCCGGGGTCGGTTAATTGGTACCAGACTTGTCTGGGAGGATAAAAACACTGACTTGTACATCGGCTGGCCCCCGCAAGTCATTGTATAGGCCACATCGCATTCAAACGCCACTACGAATGTACAAATGGAAGTAGAATGCGTGCCGCATCCCAAAAAGGGATTGATCAACGGCAAATGCTTTATCCTTTATCCTTTTTATTTGTAAATTTTTTGAAGTTATAGGTTGTTGACAAGGTGCTTGTTTTGTTTTTCTTTCTCATTCCTTTTTCATATCGTCATCTTTGATTAGTGGTTGGAATGAGGAGGTGTTCTTCAGCTGCGGTTTCCTGCTGGCTTTTGGTCTCGTTTCACTGTCCGAATTCATTTCGTTTGTTCGACTAATTAAGGAGCGATTGCCAGAAAGAGCTCTTCCTCTGAGACCTTTACGTATTACGGTTGCTAATCAGATTATCTTTATATCACTGCTGCTGCCATATTTGGTTTGCAAGTGCACTTTGAGTATCAGTCGAATTCGCACATCGATTTTTCAGCTTTATTTTCCAACAGCTGTATATAATTTTGTTTTATACAGCTCTTAAATTTTTTTTCAGAAAAAAATCAGTTTTTTATAATTTAATCAATTTTTCATAACTTGGAATGCATCTTGGCCTCACAGCTTCTTTCTTCCACTTCAGTCATTTACTACAGGCATTTGTTGCCTTCACCTCATCGTTCCAAAGCTTGCTAAGTTTCTGCTTTCCTGACAAAAAGCTTAGGTAGCACACTACTTACCGCCCTGTCCTGAGGTGCTATACAAGGTTAATGTGTTGACAGCTTAAGTTCTGATTTGCTGGTCAGATTGGTTCCTTGGGGCGTCTACGCATACTTCGGAATTGATGTATTGGAGGTAAGTCCCAACTGCGACAGCCCTACAACGAACAATACCATGTTTGGGTTGCAAGGTTTCCAAAAAAAAAAGACAAAGGGTGAGAGCGTAGCTGGAAAAGCACACACTTTGTGTCTTATTGGGCCCTCAGCCTTTTGAAGATGATAAAAAAAAGAGGAGATGCTGTGATAGTGAGCATTTGTGAGAGCTCCCAGACATCGCGCTACAAAACGCTGAACAGCCAAGGCTCACGGTTGACAGATGTCCTGACGACCCCATATTTGTCACGCGATCGACGCGACAGATTGCTCAGGACTTGTCAGCGTAGTTTAGACGTACCCCTTTGACCCAGCAGCGGTCACCGATCGAGTCCTCCTCGTAGGCCAGATAACCAGTACGACGCTAGCTCGATGGTCACAGATTCTCCCTCACGTAGAACCGAGGCAAAAAATATTCAGAACGCTAGCGTTTCTTGAGTGCGGAGAAGCTGGCTCACCACAGGGAAGAATGATAGCGTTACTGACACGGCTAGCGCAAGAATTTCGTTGACGAACTTTGAGGACCGGTGATTCCATACTTGCAGTTTGTCGTTAACAAAGTATTTGTACATAAAAGGGGTTTTGTGTTTTGAAGGCGAAAGCATCAAGATCTGTGGTGGCTGCTCTGCTCGCCACAGGGAAAATGTTGGCGTTACTGCGGCAGCAGCGCTGGAAATTGTGTTTGATGAACCTTCAGAAAACCGAGTGGTTCGCATCCTTCGCAGCTTGTCCAAATAACATAGTATCTTCTACTTGGAGTTTTGAGTTTTGGTAGGCCAAAAGCATTAGATCTGTGGTGCTGTATTGCGGAACGCGTCACTGTGCCATGATATTGGCGCGAGTTTCGCATACCAAAAACTGGTCGCTCCTGTCAGAGCAATCGGTTCGTTTCGCATCGTCATCGTTCGGTCGATTCGCTGTTCTGTTTGCTTTTTCTTGATGGAAGGCCAAATGATCATTTTCCAGTTCTGTCCAATTGAAGTGCTTGGAGGTCGATGAGATTCCTCAGGTCCTAAATTCTGACTTGTTTAACTTTTAAGAAACTCTTCTAAAACTGTTCGTACACAGTTACCTGTCAAATGACTCATTGACTTGTTGGAATTTAACTGCATTACTGCATTGAAATGGTTGTTGTGCCCACATAGCCAATGTTTTTGAGAGAGATCTAAGATCATGCGAGTGATAGTAGACGGTTTCGAAACAATCTGGTTTGGCTTGGTAATCGACACGTAGTTTCCATGAACGGAGAGATCATGCGCCAGTGAATGAACTTTGGCGCAAGATTTGTCCTTGAACTGGGCGAAGAGAGTCATACGTATCTTTCCACTTGAATTCTGTTTTTTTCATCGAATGGCGATGAATTCGTGACGTAGAATTACTATAATGTATGCTATACGAAGTTGATTTAGCTGATGAATCAGTCCTATCGAGATGCGCCACGCATCCGTCTACGGTTTGGACTCAAACGAACACATAGATCGTCCTCGGCCTGTACTGATTTTCGCGAAGTCGGTACGATGGTTTTTCTCAGAAAGGAGAAATTTCGATCACCAAATCTAGGCAAGACGAAGAGAGAAGGGCAATAGAAATGATACAATCGTCTAACTGCTCATCGACGCCGTCCATATATGGGCAGGGCTTTATTTTTGATCTACATTCGAAGTATAACATATCATATATTTATCATATTTAAACACACTATTTGTTGTTTATCTGTCCCCATTTAATATAACATTGTCTCATTTGTGCAATAGTAAATAAATAAATAAATAAAATGGGCAGGGCACACGGACCTGCACGGCCTACAATCACGCAGCCCCTGTGCGAGAAGTGCTAATTGTTGGGTGGAAGCAAACCCTCGACGTACGCCAACCTGATCGACCAAGCCTTCCATCCTCCGGCGTCGGTTTTTTGATACCAGTACCGTCTTTGAGGAAGAAATTAATGACTCGGGTGAAAATCCAGTTGGGGGGCACACTTTGCTGATCTTAAATGTATCGAACACTACGGATAAGATAATAAGTGAACGACTCATTTCGAGCGTACTTTTGATAAGGACCGGTGGATGTCCTACATTCCACACTACCTGCCCACATCCCATCCACTTTTCTGCACAGGTGATCCACCCTGGAGCTCCTGCACCCTTAGCCCCATTGCGGAGGTGTCCTTTCTCCCTGGTTCAGGACCGTTCCCATATGAGCAATGGTAGAACGGAATTGTGAAGACGCTTAGGTGAGGGTAGCCTCCACATTACATCGCGAAGCTTATCAGGAAAGTACGCCTTCAATGAGCTGAATTACGTGTCTATAATGCTCTCATTCTTACCTTGAGTGTTGAAAAAAACGATAAGTGGCCGCTCTCCCTTCGAGCTCTGCGTTTTCACCATGGCTGTAGCTCGACTGCACCCTTTCCCAATTTATTGCAACGCCCCGAAATCCTATTCAAAATACCACTGCGATTCTGAATGGAATTAGCGTGCGTGGCGCATCCTGAAATAGATTGATCAATTGCGAATGCTGCCCATTATCTTT